ATATATATATATATATATATATATATCCATTGTTTTAATTGAGCAATATAAATTGTGAATACAAGAGCTAAGAAATTGTCAGTACTTGTAATGAGCCTTGTAACACAGTAGTTGTTACAATAGAAAAACTACAGCATAATGTTTCAAGATGAAGTCACATTTGGAATATGTGGCTTTTAATTGGAAAATTACAATATCACATTTGAAACTCTTAACTTATGTAATATCTAAATGGATGATCATTGACTGAAAGTAAAATTGAATTACAAAAAATCACTAACAATTATAAGACACAATTAGCATGTGTTTGAATAAGGGCATGCAACGTGGAAGTATAAAGAGTCCTATAAGACCATTTATAATAGACAAATTACTGCAATTAACATCAATGTTGCTTTCAAATATCAAATTTTGTTGTTCATTGCAATATCATGTTCAGGTTGCTGCCATAAAAATGAAATAAAATAAATTTTCAACATGAATAAAGCATTTTTTTGCATATATTTTGAATGTGAAGTTGAACAAGGATTTAAACTATGAAAAAGAAGGTAAAATAGCTATCATTAAAGGCCAATTTGATTGCAAAATATATAGCTTCATGATGATAAAATCATACTTCTACAAAATAGTGATTTTATCTCAATCATTAATTTTCTGATTATATAATATTTCAGTGATTTTAAAGGCAAGTTCACGTAGAGTTCGAAATCATTGTTGGTTTAGAACTACATCTAACAAATGCAATCCTATCTCTGAAATATTTTCTTTATTTCAAAAATCCAAATGGACACTTAATGAGGGAAAACTATTATGTCCGGCGGATGCCAATAAGACAATGCCACATGGGTAGGACCCACTTTCATATAAAATAAAGCAGCAAAATTCGTCTGCGTAAAATTTGTCTGTGTATGACTTGGACCTGGCCTAACCCGTGTAATAATTATATTACCGCGATTTTTTTTACCATGTGTGATTTCCTCAATCCCATTTGTCTAGCTAGGGTTTTGGCGCACAAAGTGGGTAGGACCCACTTTCACATAAAATAAAGCAGCAAAATTCATCTGCGTAAAATTTGTCTGTGTATGACCTGGACCTGGCCTAACCCGTGTAATAATTATATTACCGCGATTTTTTTTACCATGTGTGATTTCCTCAATCCCATTTGTCTAGCTAGGGTTTTGGCGCACAAAGAAGTTCACCTCTTGCTCCAATTTCATCCCGTCAACTTCCAGTTCGAGCAAATAGGGCTGCAAGACGTGAAGGCTTTAAGAATAGTAGTTGTTTTCGACACAATTACATCAGTTTGGCATGGTTTTATGTGGCATTGAGACGTCATTATTAACTGCAAGAAAGCCAATTAAAATTTAATGTATTAAAATATAGAAAATTTTTTACTCCTGAGGTAACTTCTATTGAGAGAAATCTTATATAATATTCCAAGTTGTGTTTAAAATGGAAGTTTTTCATTTGGATATTTTGATTTTTGGTGAAATTATTATGTAAACTCATTTGACATCTATTGGAAGAAGGAATGTAATTCCACATATTGAGTTGTCTGTTGTTTTGTTGTATTAAATATGTTTGGAAAATTTGATGATTTAGTTGTTCATTCCAATATATTTATGAATAAACCTTATCTCATTTGTCCTAAATAGCACGTTTCACCATTCTCAGAGACTTAAATCACACATCTTCTTCAATAAAAAGAACATACACATCATGTAACATGAAAATTTACTTTTTTTTGTCAAAATTGTTTTTAACCATAACTTCATGGGGATAACATATCATGGTGCTATACAACCCTATATAAGGTTTCCTCGGCAAACAACCCATGAAAATGAATAGATAAGATTTAATAATTTTTTCCTTCATATATATAATATATTAAAGAAGAAACCAAACAAAAAAATTTAAATTTAACATATATCACCTATCATCTGAAACCCCTTAACTTTACTTCAGTGATAAAATATTGTTTTACATACTTTCCAAAGTTAGAAGTAATTACCGCAAGGTTTAAATTTAAGATATTACCGTATGTTTTCCACTATTCATCATCTTTGCAGATCTTCTGTCTTCAAATTTACTTCTTAGTCTTCAAAATTTCTCCTCTTCACAGTTCTAAAACCAATTTTTTATTCCAGCTTCTGCATATCATTTTTTTGCCTTATCACGCGCGATATATATTATAACCCTCGGAGTAATAATTAATCCAGATGAGTCCGGGTCATGCACAGGGGAATTTTACACGGGCGAATTTTTCTACTTTATTTTATATGAAAGTAGGTCCTACCCACGTGGCATTATCTTATTGGCGTTAGGACGTAGAAGACGACCGAACGCCAATTTTTTTCCCTTGAGGAGCACCTCTTATACTGACCAAAAAAGGCTAACAGATTTTTCTTTTTTTTTTTCATTTTTAATTCTTTTTGTCCTTAATTATAAGTAAAATGAATAAGAAAATTTCATTGAGAAGTATATCTGCCCTGACAAAGAAAATGCAACTTGAATATTCTTACTCTTCACATCCCCAACAATCATTATTGGCTGTATGTGCTGTATATATATATATATATATATGTATGTATGTATATGTAGATATATAGATAGATAGATAGATAGAGAGATAGAGAGAGAGAGAGAGAGAATCCTGGTGGGAAATAAAAAGGAATTAATTTAAACTCTTGTAGGACATAATGTTCCATTGTTAATTTTGATAAAAAAATGATCTACTCACAGTCTAGTTTAATGAGCCGTGTCTCCACAGATTCCACCTACAATAAGATAGTATAGAAGTTTTTCAAACATCTGTGGATCGATTATCACATTGCAAATCAAGACTTAATAATCATATATTTGAAAATTGAGTATTCCTTCATTATATACAGGTAATTTTATTAACATTTAACTTGATCTGGAGTATATATCTGGAGTATATATATATAATAAGATGTGAAAAAAAATAAGATGTTTTTTTTTTCACTTTTCAAATGTTAAAATAGGTGTACTTTTGATGTGGTATGAATGATTTGGTTGGTATAAATGTATGAAGTAAGGTTTGGTTGTTACATATGTAAACACATATATCTAGCTTCTTAATATTTTATATGGGCTCATTTTATTTGTTCATTGAGATTTAATCAAGCATTTATCAATTGATTGAACCAAGATCTAGAGGCTTACTTCAATTCATATCATAATCGCATTAACAATTACAAACACCATTTACATCTTCACTTACTTGAAACCCATATGTTTGTTCAATGGCAAATGTCTTCTTTAAGAACTTCATTAAAAAATGTTTAAGTTAACAAATGACTGATACATACTCAGTTTCTTTTAATGTTACTAATACACATAATTAAGGTTCTTATTGTTTCTTTGAGAAATCTATGTTGGCATTTAATGCTGTTGGAAAATACATTAATGATGGAAGTTTATGCTATAATGACAATTTAAATTCAATACAAGCAACAATCTCCTTGAAAAAATAACACATCTATTGTTTGTTATATGTATTTTTATTTCAAATTATGAAGTATATAGCCATTAGTTCATGCTGTTAAAAAATAATAAAAAGCCATCAGTGCATGATATGTAACCGGAAAAGAAGCATTT